ACGTAACGATGGTAACTGTTGTAACGATTTTAACTGTGGTAACGATGTTAACCATGTGGTATCTTTCATTCAAGTCGTTATCCACAATCAACCTATTCCTGTGTTTCAAATAATGCATTCACTAAAAGTTTTTAATACATTTTACTTGAACAATATATAGCTTTTCCAAATAACACGTCAAATCCGCCCATTTCAATCCCATCTATACGCAACAGAACCTAAATCATACTTCAGAGAAAACAAAACATGTCTTTAAAGATGTACCAACAATGTTGACTTTATCAATATGTTTACATTTTATTTAGATACATGTACATTATATAGATTCACAACTGAAGTTAGCACGCTATATAGGTAAAGTCTATTCTAGGTAAAGTATATTCTAGGTAAAGTTTATTCTAGATAAAGCCTAATCTAAGTAAAGTCTATTCTAGGTAAAGTCTGTTACAGAAATATTTAACCAATGATGGATGCATATCTTTACAATGAGAAAAAGTCAATTCCTTCTTGTCATCGATTGGCATCGAAGTCCTTCTGACATCATTAAACCCGTGTAATCTTACGACATTAAATGTTAATAACACTGTGAACTGGATGTAGAGTAATGTTGTTTTTGTTTTTGTTGTTTTTTTTGTTACACGTTTTTTCAACATTCATTAAATACAGAAAAGAGATGTAACACGCTACAGATTTATATTTTACTAGCTTTGTTTGACATTGGATAGCATATACTTGTCGGTATTTGCCATGTAATCGCTGTATGATGGCGGTGACACGGTACATATCTCCGTCAATGCACTGTCTACAATAGCCCCATCATTTTTGTCATTCACGTTGTTTAGAGACTCATAATCCGGGGGAGGTTCATGTTTACTGTAATCTATAGGATCTATTCCCGACTCCAAATTCAGGTTATTTAAATTGTTCCTTACAGCATGCGTATTTTCGTTAACTCGTTCTTTGAAGTGGTTTTTATAACACAAACAGGCAACTAATATTAAGAAAGGTACGGCAACTAAACAAAGTATGGATGAACCTATGATAACAATTGACATAAAATCCAGCATTTTCAGAAGTTATTCTCGACTTTTTATCAAACGTAATTGGTGCTATTTAGCGTTGAATATTTTATAGTTATAACAAAAGCCAACAATAACAGTAATGATTATAACTCGCTGGTTCCGCCACGTCCGTCTTCTAGTAAGCAACTTGTCCGACTACTGGAAATGATTGCGTCTCTTTGTATATTTGCAACATTACTTTTTATCTACATTTGCATAGTATTTGTATTACTAGACTAGTCTACAAAAAGTACATTGTCTTGCAGCACGTGCATTTGTGATTCCCGTAGTAAAATGTTAGATCAACTCACATGTATATCACTTGATTACAAAAAAAACGCGCGTTAGTATTAATGAAACAAGTTCATTAAAATAACTATTCAAATCAAATGTACATTGCACCTTAAACTAGTTATGCCAGTTTCGAATGAAATTAGACACTCTTTTTGAGAGAACATATTTATAACGGAGCCTAGTCATGGGAACTGTTGTATCTGGTATTCCCCCTTACACCATTTTTCCTCATGAACAACCGTGTCGGCATCATAACTTATCATCATCATTACCCCTACTTTTCGCAAGTCATCACTTGCAACTTGACTACCAGTGTATGGGAAAGAATGAGTTTCTTTTCCTTCTTCACATTAATTTTTTATTTGGCAAAAAAGATATGAATTTACACTGGAAAACTTGAAAATAGATAAACAATGTTACATAGAGAGAATATTCCTGGATTGTTAGTTGATGTTTCCCATTCACTCCAATAACTTATAAGAGACTATAAACTATTTGACATTGACAAAATAAATGCTTGTTTCGCTATCATGTATGATAAGCATGATCAACCTGTAAACGTTTCATCCCGACCCGAGATTTGGCATGTACTTTATACATGTATGAAAACCTGGGAGAACCGGAAGAATACAGTCAGCTCAGCCTGCAATTCACGCAGCCTAATCTTTAAATTGAAACCTCTTAATTTACAAAAAAGACTGTTCCAAATTCAAAGGAGGGCAAATTCATTACACATATATATGAGGTTAAGGGATCATTTACGTAATTCCGTCGCCAAGGTAAACAGACGATAGTTATATGAATAGTTGACGAGAAACTATTTTATAATTGTAGCACTATATTTGGAGGTGTTTTCCCTCTCTTTTTGAAATGTTACAACAAATAAATACACCCTTATATTGCGTCATAAGCCAGATACGAGATAACAAATATGTGTGTTAGTTGTCGTGGTAGACTAAAGCAGCAGGCCTCCAGATTCATGCTAATTTTCATGAACATTTTGAAAATGTATTTAAAAGTGAAATATTGTGAAGTGAACAAAGAAAAAATGTTTAAACATTGCAAACGGCGCTTACAGTCCACATAAATTACTCAAAAGAGGTCAAAATATGCGAAAATAGTTCTTACGTCGTTAGTCACGCAGTACAAAAATAGTAGTAACTACCACAAAATCAATTATTAATCGCATATAACATGTAAACTATTTCTTGAATCTTGACTTGAAATCGTAGTATATTTTTCTCAAGTTTGATGTTCTCTTTGAAATATTTTTGGCTCATCTGGAGGCGTATAAAGCTGTATATATAGCTTTATACCATGAACAAATTCCTTTCCTACAACTTCAGCCAGGATGATAATTAAAAAGTTTGTAACGCAGTTTTTAAAATAAATAAATGAACAAATCAATGAACAAATTTTCTGATATGAGCATACGCTCCACATCCTAACAAAATACAATATATCAAAGTATCGCATATATACACTTTTAAAATACATAAAAATTGTAAACTTTTTTTATCATAGGAATGATAAAATAACTACAAATGTACCATAACATAACATCGTTTCAGATTAAAATTAAAAAACATTCTTGATCAGAAGAAATGTACATGTGACATAAAAGTTATATTCCTATATATTAATTTCTTTAAAACAACAATGAAGTTACGAATACTTTGTGAATACAAACATATTAAACACAATCATCTACGTACTCAAAATAACACAATAAGTCAAGTACCTTCAAGTTAAACAATAGACTCAAGTGGAATCCAAGCCTCTATGACAATACGTAACTAATAGGAAGTGTCCTGGTAGCTTACAAGCTTATTATCTACATAGGTCTGTAATTGCAAGGGAGATCGAGGGGATTTAAGAGTTGCAATTATTGTAACATATACCACTATGAGTATAACAAATTTTGTACAGAAGACTTGCAAAAGACGAGGTTATTATTTGTAGAGATTTCAAATCAGCTTATCCAAGTATCTAAAATGAAAATGACAATGCGGTAGAATACAATAACAATTTGTATTCTATTCTATGGATTTTAAATTGCTTTATCTGAAAACTCACAAGAATGATGATTGGCTGCTGCTGCTGCTGCTGCTGACGATGATGATGATGATGATGATGATGATGATGATGATGATGTATAAATGAAGTATTTAAATGAAGTAAATAAATATGTAATGGTAGTGTTAAATAACGTGTTAAATAAGTGTCGTAATCGCTGGTCTGTTTATACCATTCATAAATAATTTCTTTTCCTAGCTCGTTACATGTGGAAAGACACGAGATATTCATTACTGTTTTTCATCACATCGTTATAGCTTGGTAAGTTTTCTACAGATATTTGACTTAAGCGTGTGTCACATTGAGACGTTGATCCTTCATGGTTACCATCTAATTGTTCTAGAGAACTATACTCTGGCGGCGGATCAAACTTATCGGGATCAATAGGTCCGGTATCATACCCGGCATTGTCGTGAGCATCCTCCATAATGGCGGCAAATATTCTCCTTGCTCGCGTAGGAATATCTTCAGGTTCCGGTTCCGGTTGCTTACAATACCTTCTGTACATGAAGCAGCCACAAAAAACTAACATAGGTACAAGTATTATACACAATAACACGATAGCTGCTAACAAACCCCCATTTGGATTTTTATAGTCCGGATAACCACCATAATCATTCCCGTCACAGAAAATAAAAGGATTGTTAATGATCGAATCTTGGCTTACACAAGCAGTTGAACGAATATTTCGCATAAGCCAACATGACGTTTCATTGCTGTTACATTTACCGTAGTGGAAAGAAAAGAACACGAATTCAAAAGTAAACGATGTAGAGCTATCACCAAGAATATCTAAAGTCAGCGTATTCCTTTGTGTCGATTCCAGTTGGCGTGTGAAATTTCTACTGGTATTTAAACACTCATATTTTCTTTCCATGTCACCTTGAAAGACAGTCACGGACGTACAGATATAGTACACGTGATCATGGAAACTATGTATCGTTCGGACAGCTGATTGTTTACTAAAACCGTATGCAATATGATATCCCGGTTCAGCCTCGATCACAATCCTACATCGCTTTGTTTGTTGGTGTTCGTAATGAGTGTAAAACAATTTCCCCGTGCCGCCCGTGTCACGTAGAGTTATTGTCTCGTTACACGTGTCTATATCTACAAACAATGAAAAATAACACATACATTTCGAGAATGCAAATAATTAATCAGCATCAATTTATTGAACTTGCATGTATTTCTTAATTTGTTTTCATGATAAAACTAAATTTATGACCTTCATGTGCTATACATGTCAAAGGACGTACTTTAAGTCTGACATAGCCATTTAATGGCATTTATATATGATAATCATATAAAATAACTTAATAAAACCTTGTGATACTAGTAAAACTGTATAGGATATATATATGATAATATACAAATAGTAATGCTAAATGGTATAGATAATATTGTTGATAAACGAAAAGCAGCATTCATGATTTTATGATGTTATGGCGGCCATGATTTTACGACTGCTCAACAGAACTAAAATGAATATAATAAAGGGTCGTTATGTATTTGTTTATTTATTATCTTTATGTACAAATATAGCATGCCATTCTCTACTTTTAGCCTTCATTTAAGCATTTATTTGTTTAAGAAGAACATCTATATTCTAAGTGACTTCATGCGTATCTAAATACTGAAGATCTGACAAAATATTGTCGGCCATTTGTGTTGGATTTTTACACATCCGTTTTCTAATAAACGTTTCTTTATTAAAAAGCCATACATGTATTTTGTTTTATGTTTAACTGATGAAATGGATAATATATTCAAAGCCAAATATAAAGACAAAAGGTGCTCTTTAAAAATTGTGTCTTTGACATTTAAGCATCGGTTATGTACCCATTTAAATAAGGAAGTACATTTATTAAAGAAATTCATGATATTTCACGATTAAATTTATATACAAGGACAGTGTTGTGTTCTTGATTTTGACATCAAATTTTCGCACGTAAACATCGACGTTTTTTTGTTATAAAGAGATAACCAACTTATATTATGTGACAAAAGGTTATGAAATGGGAAAATAAATTTACTAACTTGATTTCAAAAACTGCATGAAAAATCACAAAACTTTTGAAAATAAAGAGCACATTAAATGTTGTCATACTACAATATGTTTTTAATAATATAAATATTACTTTTTAACAATTTTACCAAAAGCAAAAATCACAGTTATAAAATTATTATGGTTATTTTCCATTCTCAGAAGTTTAACTGTGTAAATTATATATGACTATATGTATATTTTAATAATATATTTTTTAATAATCATTGTAAATTGTTTTAATGCATAAATTTGACTTACATGTTTGCACTTGTGTTAAATATTGACCTTTCACATGTAACAACATTATATTTCCAATTAAAAATATACTTTCCATTATCATTAATATACTCATTTTGTGATAGTCAATGTCTTTAACGAAAGTGAAAAATTGAAATCCGCTTTTTACTATTTTCGATTTTAATATTTATATGACGTAATACATAGCCAATAACCAATCACATAGGAAATGACTAAAAATAAATAAAAAATGTTTCGGTTTATAAATGCGGACATACAGGTGCGTGTATAAATATAGAAATCTTTTATCTTAAACATACATGTTAACACGCACAGGTATTTATTACATGATTTAAACAGCCAACCTTTTAATCTACTAACAAAACTTCACATGAATCATCTTTTAAAATATTTTGGAGTTTAAGGTAAATTACAGAAGATTATTGTCTTACATATATATATCTACTTGATTGACATTGTTTAACTTTGAACTATTTTATCATATCAGCTGTTATGATTTTATTCTATAGTTAAACACCGTAAGTTACTACGGATAATTTAACTACACTATACTGAAATTGAATTGTGGCGGTTGATGTACGTTACCTTTAATGTACATTACACTCTATAGAATTATAAGGAGCATAAAGGCCAGTAGATCAAATATCACCAACGTTTTATAATGAATTGAAGTTTTAAGTATTTGCATATTGTCATAGAGTTTCTATATATGTATAATGGCAACAAAAAAAGTTAACTATTGCGCAATGCTTTGATTACATTTTGAAATAAGCTGAAAAAGGGGCATATTTTGTCCTGTTTACCACCGTCCCTCCTGTCTGCAAAGAAAATGATATCATTTATATGCTGTTATCTATATACTGACGTATATAGCTACATAGGGAACGTTTGTTTGATTAATTCGATGAAAACGTCATTGTTGTTTTAATTAAAAGATAAAACTAGCGAACGCTACCAATAAAACAGGTAAGATGCACCAGATATCAAAGATATCAAAAGGCGAACAAAACAGATCATTACATCATCCATAGAGTCAAACATGTATTATAAGCAATGGTATGAAACACAGGTACATGTATATACCGAAAGGTAACAAACATTATAACTATTCAGTAAGACAAATCAATTTGCCTTAAATGTTTTTATTTTCTATCTTTCATACACTGAAAAATAAAACTTGTCTAATTCGTCAGGATATTTACGTTTGCTGAAGCTTAAACATACACTAGGACGAGCAATGAAATCTCCACTTATATAATTATCGTACCTCAACAGATTATCATATACCAATGTGAAATGAGAGTCATCTCAAATTAAACCGGACACAGTAAACTTTGTCTTCCGATTCTATTGCAGAGACTCTGAATCTTTTTATAACGTGTTCATAATCAACACATATCTTTAAATGCTTGTTAACGAAGCAACAATATCTTGAGCCACACCTCATTTTTCCGCGCTTGACCTCGCCGTAAGAAACCCATCATTTTTTGTTTTCTGCTCATTAAATTTAAGATTCCTCAACGGTCACAGTAAGATGAAAAAGATTGTCCAATGGCAATTGTAAACATTCGATGGTTTCTGCAGATACATTGTATAACCAAATCGTCTGTGGAAAGTTACTATATGATTGTAAATGCATTGATATATAGACCATTTTCGGCTCTCGAACGAAAATACAATTCTATGTATTCAATAATGATTGACAACAATAACAGTGAAATAGATCTCCCTGATTCAAACACACAATGATTTCTTTATAATCGGTGTACTGATTCAATATTTGGAAAATGTGATTAATCGGAAGCATTAACTAAGAACAGCAAAATTACACGAAAATTGTAGACTCGGTTTGATTGAGTCTGTACATGAAGGATAATGTAACAGTGCAACATCACTCACGCCCCCCCCCCCCCACCAGCACCGACTTGAACATGTTCATACATTTTAATAGAACGTAGCATGTTTCCAGTTATTCTTTGTTCATACATTTTACTTTATTCATAAAACAGACGAAACATACAAAAGTGGCATGTAATCGTTTATCATTATCAACTACATGTATATTTTAGACAGAAAATTGTATAAGTAGTAGAAATCATTTCTGAAAACAAACAGGGATTGTTCTTTTAATAATTTATTTATTACTGTGGTACCTTTTAGTTAAGGTAATTATGACAATCTGGAAAATAGCCTTATTAAAAAGATCATCAATGTGACGTTTGTTTTTAGATTCTATTTAGAATTCGTTAATCAAACTGTCACTGGCACACATTTTGTCCTGTTTAAGAGTCTTTTAAGCGGCATAAATGATAACAGAAGCTCACTTCCATAATCACATAGATCACTTTCGTTGTCAGTTGTAACATTAATCTCGTCAGCAAGTTTACCAAAGTACTCGGAGAGGAATAGTTGGAATATATCTGAAGATTTCTATAAAGGAAATATTACCAAATAATTGTTATTATTTTTTATGAAGAATTTCAATCTTTTTCCTTTTGATCAATAATATTTGAACATTTTAGGACTGGTAACACTTTCAAATGCTTGTTTTTTAAACTATAAACTCTGCCACTATTTCAAATATTAAATGAATTCAACGAATTCACGTACTGTATATGTTTCTCTTTCCAGTTAAGTAATTGTCAAACCATTCAGCTGCTTAAGTTACAAATACTAGTAGTCATGTAGTAAGTCTGGTTTTACATATATTTATTGAAAGAAGCAAAGATTTTGCCGCTATATCTATTAAGCGTGAAACTGTCTGATCTGTCTCATTGTAAAACGTGAATTATTAAAGTAAGGTAAGGCAATTTTGAAATAATATCAATTCTAAAATCTCGCCCATCATATTAATGATATTCAAGAGCCAAGAACATAATTATCTACCCTTGCATTGATTGAAATTTGATAAATCTATAAAAAATAAGTTATGGATGATTGGAATATATTCAGGGTACTTCGTGAAGGGTTTTAAAAAGTGTCACCAATTTCATATTTAAATGTTATATTCTACTTAAGCTGGTACTAGGGGGCGTGGACGATAGCTTGCAATTACTACTACAGTCGATAAACATGCTTTACCAACTTGAGCCTGCAACATTGATTTTTTTGCGTCTTTAGGGATTCTATTTTTCTCTATTTAAGTTCTTATACCACCTCTATACTTAGCACAGAAAACGATCAAAACAAAAACTATCTTATTTCCATAAGAATATTCGATCAGCTCTGCTGAGGTTCAATAAACTAAACTATGAAATCTAAAATTCTTTAAAAGTGAAAAATAGACACACAATAATAAAGAAATGTTTGGTTCAACTTTGAGGCCCATTTGAGTTATAAGCTTTTAAATGTTTTTCATTATGGGGCAAATTTGCACAATAACAATGATAGTTCTGGAAATACGGAGTGAGCGAATGATTAGCACGTGCAGACATTCATCAAATGGTACACACATCTCCAATGATTATGTCCTGTCTCATCTGCCAGAAAACTCGATGTAGTTCATTCAATATCTATAATAATAACATAGCATGTTCGTCTTTATATATAAAATAGGCTGTCCAATTATTACAAATTACCTTAAATTGTTCTTCTTATTGGTTAAAAAAGAACGGTTTTCAAATTTATACATTAGGTCGATAAAACATCCTTTAAAATGAAGGTTTCACAGCAGAAAAGTTTGATAGTAATTAGGGAATACAATGTATTTTGATTTTAAAAAGCATTACCATGTAGGCATTTATGTGAATATTTTGCTACAATCATGTTCTATTTAAAATTGTTACCGTCTCAAAACAGATTTTAGACAAACTGCAAACGAACTGTTCTAATGTCAAAGCTGGGCAAATCGGCAAATCCATTACATAAGGTTTAAAAATTGTCTGGTGTTGTGTGTTTTTTTCATTTGTGCTTTATTCAGAATATATGCAAATATAGAACACAAATTATGTCAATTCTAATTTGACATGATATACCTCCTGTAAAACTGTTAAAGAATTTATCTAATTATTAAATCTATACCGAGATATTTCTAATTTTTATACTCTTGAACAGTTTATGGTAATAACCAAAATAGTCAAAGCATATACAGTCTAGCTTAAAAACGGATGGAGTAATGAAAAAACTGGATATTTCCATAAAAGCACCTACCAACAATGCAGATTCTATTATAGTTGACAGCGCCATCACAGTGACATCATAACAATCCGAAAACCAATTTGAAAAAGTCCATTGAATTGCAATTATTTCTATATGTTAACCAGTTCAGTAAATTTGATTTTGTTGTTTCTGTTGCTTGTATATGATAATACCAGTTGAATGGTTTAACATTGTTTTATTTTATGTTTTGGGTTTTATTTATTTTGAATTCATAGTTTCTTCAATATTTACTATTCTATTGTCTAACATTGATTTTTTTACGATTTTAGGGAGGTAATTTAATTGGATCTTTAGATTCTTTAGTATACATTAGTAGAAAACAAAATGTAGTTAATATGTGTACATGCATATCTTATTAACTCTAATGATTTATCATAACAAAACAATCCTTACTGATTAATGGTATAACTGTGTTAAAACCACATTCATGTTTTTATTTTATACACATGAACCTTTATCAAGATTTAAATAAATGTAGTGTCATATGTTTATTCAAATAATATCTAAACGTTTTCTATGGGCGTCTGTTTATGTTTTATTTTCTGATTGTAATTACTTATATAATACTGATATTGATGGTGAAAACGAACCAATCCCGTTATATGCCGATGATATTGTACAGGAAGTAAAAATAATCTTCAAAGTATGTTAAATGTTCTTCATAACTGGTGTGTTACAAATTATATGAATGTAAATCCACTAATATCCAAAATTCTCCACTTCAGAATTCGTTCTTTAACTTGTTCAGATTATGTGTTTAAAATAGGAGATACAATTTTAAACTATGTTACACAGTACAAACATCTCGGTCTGGCTGCTCATAGAGCATAAGGAATGTTAATTGCTAAACTAAAGCATATACAAATATGTACGAAGCTACTGTTGTTCCAGTAATCATATATGGGCTGTGAAACATTCTCTGCTGAATAGAGCTAGCTGCACGATACTTTTTGAATGTTGGAAGATATACTCCAAATACAGCAATTTGCGGAGATATCGGTTGGAAACCTATAATATATTTTTGTTGGAAAACTGTGTTAGAAAGTTGGAGCAGATTAAGTAATATGAATGTAATGAGGTTAAATAAACA